ATCAAAGATTGTTTAAATCCCACGCTGTATTTTTCAATTAAAAGATCTTAAAAGACCCAAACTGTTCGACACACGAGGTCTTAATTTTAGAACCAGCCGTGCACTAACTCAATCAACTGACCACACCTCCGATCATAAGATATTAGTTTTAGCAAGAGAGGATATCCTCTCTTGGTTTTCGCAATTATTTCCATCGTAAATACAATAGCTCACGTTCGATATATCAAAGTTCTAACATGACTCCCAGGCTTTCTGGCCATTTTCCTATATATTTGGTTTGATTTTCTTTGTGCTCGATTCTCTTGTGGGAATTGCGAGACAATACCCTGGGTTCCAGAGGATTTTTTTTCTTATCGATAATGAAGCCGCAAACCCAGGGTAGCGAGACAATGGAGTCGTGAAAAATTTGCAAGTTTGACCCTAAAACCTCGGAGTCATGTTAGAATTTTATTATATCGAATGTGGGCTATTGGAAGCTTTTTAGACATAATATATGCACGTCTATTGCTTAATGCTATGCCTACAATGAATTTCACCGAAAAAACAGGAAGGCAACTAGCCAGACAAGCAAAAATGGTGACAAGGGAAGAATCCAGGGAAAAAATTAGGGCCGAAAAATTGTTTGTAGCTGTAAAATTTTCGTCCATACGCTCATTATACTGACAAGCAAACCGTAACATCATGAAAAGATTTAAATTTTTTCATACAGTAATGATTTAAGTCTCTGAAACGTGTGTAGTTTCTCTGTTTAATCCATCAAATGTCTTACCTTTGCTTTGTTCAGTTTAACACAAGATGTTTATTACATCGTCTAAAAGACTAAAAATAGATTTTAATCTTGGACTAATTAGAATAAATAGATCATTCTGCCAGGATCAGTTTGGGGAACCATTCCCTTTGTCTTGAGAAGCGCTGTATGTGGCAAAAAACCAATTTTATCGTACAAAAATCTTCATTCAGCTCGAGACCACAAACTTCACTGACATTTGCCAAGCGAAATTACTTCCTCGTAAAGCGTTGGGGACGACCTCAATTAACTGTCGACCTGTGATCGGATGTGCTGCGCGCGCGCTGCACGGTTGCACTTATTGATCGAAGAGTTATCAGCACAAGCTTATAGGAAGGTATGTTGATATTGCACATAACAATAAAATCTGAGTATAAAGCTGTTTTCCCCGGTCACAAATGAGAACCTTAATGTAAAAAAGCATAATCTGATGTGTAGTAAATTTTCCTCTGAAAAGCTAATAGTTAGTCTGTAGCGATATAGGTTGAATCAAAGACCTTGCCAAAACTTAAAGTATGATTTAAAAATGCCGACGTGCAAGAGAATAATCAGTAAAATTCAGCCTGCATCTTGTAGCTAGGAAAGGCGCGACGGTAGTTAGCGACATTGTTCATGAAGCGAGTACCGTATGTCATTACTGATCATTGATAACAATTCACAACTATTTTTTTTCTCAGAATTTTTAGCTTTTTTTCCACTTATATGATATTGGAACTTCTTTGATCTATCGCGAAAATCGCCGTAGTCTGAGCTTCGATATTCATTTTTTTATTATCATTTAAAGGGTCACAGGCAGCCGAGAGTTGAATACCAATTGACAGTCGTTGTTTGCCTTTTTTAGAAGTTTTCTTTTCTCTTGACATAATAAGGGTGTTGAAAATTAGCATACTTGACAACCTAAATAGGACACAGCTTAGAACTTCTTAATGTGACTTATTTCTCCCAAGATGTGCCTTGGGTTTTGTTGTCAGTCTCAATAAACCAGCCACCTTTAGTGGAGTGCCTCTAGTTAAGAACCGATCAACGCGAATATTTGGATGCTGGCTCAGCTCCTCTCTCGGCTTTTGATTATATTGTGTACCATGCAGCATTGTTAAAACAGAATTAAACAAATTATAATGAGCAGGAAAATCAGATGAAAGGGTGTTTTTAAATAGGGTAGAAAACCGTCCATGGTAATTTACAAACGAAAACTTGAGGCGTGTACGTCGTATAAATTTCTCAGATTTATCCTGCCCGAGAGATTTTGGCGATTTGTTATTGGCTGCCATGCAGTGTGGAACTGACAGGGAGCTCATTGCTATATATCTGTTGGCTGCATATTTGTTTAAAGGAAACAAGATCGAATTGCTTTGGGGTTTTGGCCGCGATGCTTTGTTTCCTTCATCCGAAAAAATTTTCCTTCCATAGTTTCAGAAGTCGACCAGTTAAAGCGACGATTTGTTTGCTTTCAAAAGGGCTTTTAATTTCTCATAAACTTTTGAAAACGTATTCGCAGGTATTGAGAGTGAAAATAATCAAAGCTTTTCGAAAGGCTTTTTTCTTGTGCACAAGGATTTCAAGACTTATTGGTGGTTCATTTGAAACTCGTGAACAAATCATGTTTAAAAAGGCATGGACAGGAGAGAGAGCGGTACAATTATATTCAAAAATGTTTAGTTTTTCATAGGTTTGTTGTCGCCATGGAACTTGAAAGACATCGACTGGAAGTCAGCTTATTGTTACAAAATCACCACTAGGTTGAGGGGGAAAAAAACAAGTTTTAAAAGTTACTTTTTACAACAGGAGGACACCGCTGTTTTTTGTTAGCTCGGAGCAGGCGGTCTTGAGTGGTATGGGACAAAGCACATGAGGACAGGGATGGGGAAAGGAGAGAGAATAGGGCTAGTCGATGTCCCTTACCACCCTTCCCCGGGAGCCGATTAATAGTTAGTAAAGATCTCGGTGACGAGGTACGGTTGTGGAGGGAACGTTTTGAAGTGCCCGGCTGCACTGATTCAAAGCTACGTTTGAGCTCGGTTTCGACATTCTAGTCGGTTCAAGATTTTTGGAAAACTATCGAATCACCTCTCGCTTTGCGCGCCCCGCCGCACGGCAAACTGAGGGACAGACATTTGACTGAAAACAAAAAATTGACATATCACCCACTTTCGTTCGGGACAACATCGCAGTGCTAAGATATAACCTCTCATCATAAAGGCCATCGAGCACCATCTTTCAGCAGTCACACTGCATACAGTGGAATCTCACTTAGCGCATATATATTTTCGCAAGCGGACAGTTCTGCTTACTGCCATTTGACAAAACCCCCCTTCAGTCAAACTCTGCATTTTTGCATTCCCGTAAGCGGACATTCCTATAGCTTCCTAGAGGCGCCCGAGGACACTTTCAGGGTTCGACGACTAGTTAGACTTTTATCAGTTTCACAAATTTCAGTGTTAGTTTTTTTTAACATGTAATAGCAACAACATATACAGGGTATGTATGGACTATAATAATAGACAAATTGTTAACTGGTTTTACTGCTACCAGGAGCGTGGCGTCCACTGGTCCATATACGCACATGTACCCGGCTGAAAAATGGAAAAAATTTTATTTCCTAAAAAAAAAAAATTATCATTAAATTAGGTTAATTGATACATTTTTCGCACTATATTGGCGTCCAGTTGTGTTAGTACTGGTCCTTTATCTTTTTATTATTCAAAAATCCTAATAGCGTCATTCGCCCTTTTTTTCCCGTAAACACAGTAAACTAGAGATGGGTAAAATAAACAACTAACTACTGCATTTTCCTGCATGTAAATTCATTGAAAATTCCCTACGGAAAACGCTGGAAACGGCGATTTCCGAGACCCTAAATTAAAAAAATTTCTGGGGGAGCATGCCCCCTAACCCGCTAGGTTAGGCCGCCTTTGGCGCTACAACATTTCTTCACCGAGTGTTTAAACCTTCAAACTCTCACGCTACGTAATATACTCCGCTGGCTACGTTTCATTTCGTATCTTCAGTTGTGGAATAACGTTAATTTGCGAAGATTTCACACATTGCTTGTTCCAGTTTATCTAGACATTTTCAATAAATTCAAACTTTTGAAAAATAAAATGAAGTCGAGAATGCGAAGTTGCGAAATTTCATGCCCTGGTTCCAAGTTTGGCTGTTGAAATCGCGAAAATAAAACCCCGCGAAAAGGTCTCACCAAAATCGCGAAATTAAATACTATGAAAAAGGCATATCATCCGCATTTTATCCTGTTTTTGTCTTTTCTGTTAGATTTACGCTTTCCCTGTGGCGCATCAACTGAATCTTTACTATGTAAACACATGTTACTTCTCTAATGCAAATGTTTTTTGAAGAAATTTTCGTCACAGTCCTCTTAACCAAACCTTGCCGTCCCGACTGATCCCGAGGGTGCCCGCGATAACTTGTGTTGACCACTGTCTTTTTTCTTGCACTATGTAGAATTGAACAGGTTATACTACGGCGAGGTCCGTTAAGTTGTCCATCAATATGGGAGCAATCGTATTCGACAGTCACCGTTCGCTAACGCGCTTCCAGAGTGGTTGAGCTCGTAAAAAGATAAAATCGTTCCCTTGTGTCGCGCGCTGGCCTTAAACGCCTCTAAAAACAAACTTAATTCGTCAGAGGTATAGCTAGCAACATGCAGTTTTTTAGAGGCACTGATAGCTTGCGAACAAGCTCTCCCGGGAGAGCCTGCTCGCAGGATAGAGGCAACCTCAGGTTTTCAAATTAATCGCTTTCCCGGTGTCTCCCAAACCGTTTTCATGCGAGAGACGTTTTTCATCAGTGAGTATGGTGATAAAAGCGAGATTATCTACGCAGGCTATTGCAACGTCTTTCAAATATCCTTTATTTACTATGTGTTCCCTTGCTGTTTTACAGCCTTGAAGGCTGGAAAAAGGTATTCCCTTTTCGGGTGAGGCCCCCCCATGAATATGACTTAAGAGGGAGTACCCTTCAGCGGGTCCAAAGAGGTTACCTTCTCGGTAGTTAGCTGAAAAGAAGCATCGATATTACTTTATTAATACGTGTAGCTTTCTAAACAAGGTTTTATCGCCCAAATATTCATTTAGGATCATTCAGTTGTTGCTTCTCGGTAACGGACCCTTTCAACGCACTAGGATGTTTACCAAACTTTCCATTCACGTTCCGATCTGACCAATCAGAGGAGTTTTTGAAATCAGTGAACTGGTCACGTGAACAAAACAATTATTTTATCTTTTCTGTGCTCGAAGACGCTGCTTGTCCAGTTTCAAAAGAATTTCACTGCTCCGATAATATATACAGACATTGATGCAGGGTAAAAAACGAGGGAATAACTCATGTATCGACCAACTTTAAAACAAATGTATTTTATTGTAACTCAAAAAGGCGCAGTATGGCCAAAGCATGGCCAGAAGTTGTTCACTTGTTATGGTGACCCGTGGGCTCGATAAACTGGTTGCTACGCTCCTCAGTAATTTCTTGGACATATTTAATACGAATTTCGATGAAAGGGGGGAGATTAGTTTCCCGTGAAACGTTAACTCTGACCCAGGATTTGTTATTTACTTAATGAACATGTCGGCTCAATCAGACGTTGCTACTTTCAACAGAAGATCTTCGACGCCGTCAAGAAGAGCTTGGGAGGAAACAGAAGAGAAACCGCAGACAAACGTTTCGCAGGGCGACCTGAACAAGAATGTAAAGGAAAAAAATCATCCTGCAACGCCGAAGAGGACCGTAAGTGAAGGGCAAAAGACATTGACAAGTATGGAAAGCAATGGATCACCAGGATCGGCGGATGTTCGACTTCGTTCTGTGGAAGTTGGTGTCGAAGAAAACGCGAACATCAGAACGATCAAAACTGAAATTGTCCAGAAGGATAATGTCAGGAACGGTTTTCCAGACGGTAGATTAAAAAATGGAAAGCAATCCCAAATGAAAGATCTCGAAAATTTGAAGGGTGAGAATATCTGTGAGGATTCTTGTTGCGGAGACTGGACTTTATTCACGCGGGTTTTCAAGTCCAAGCGATTCGAGTCGGAAAAGCTCGAGGGCCTCTATCAACGTTACGTATTTCGCCTGAACCAAAAATTTATGAGCTGGCTCATTGTTGTGTTGCTTATTTTAACTTTTATTTTGATACCATTGCAGTTCGCCATGGAAAATGACAATCCACCGCAATCTAATGCCGAAGGCATAACTTTGTGTATTTTCGCGGTTGCTTACATTTTACTGGCACTAATTGTTAACAGAAGTGGTTCTTCTCAGAGCGGCCATTTGAACTGGGTCTCTTATATTTTGTTGGCGATTTCCTGCGGATTTGTTCTTGCTTCGGTGGTTTGTCCACCGTCTGAAACTGTAGATCCAAGCAATGAAGAAAGCGTTTATTCCCCTTCAGATGGTGTATGGCTAACGACGTTTTTCGTGTACATGACTTATACAATGTTACCGGTTAGAATGAGAATTGCTGTGTTTGGAGGTTGTGTGCTTCCTGCCATCCATCTTATATCTAGCGCGGCGATGAATAATAAGGACTCTAATCTTGTAAGATTGGTAAGTGCATATTTATTTTTATTTAAACTTATTTTTGCCGTCTGTGTTGTATCATGATTTCTAGGGCTTCATCTGTTTTCTTCAAGTAGTAAATTATTTATATCCGTTATTTGCATTGTAAGGAAAAACGTATCGCTCCTCCGTATTGTGGGAAGTGCCTACTTACCGTAAAAAGTTATAGCCGCCTCGATCGATGAAAGCCAAACACGAATTACGAATCCCGTGCTGTTATTTCTTGTGACATTTCCAGTGCGGATTTAATCTGTGTGGCACCAGGAGAAGGGGTATTTCTAACATTTCATATTTTCTAAATATGCAGGTGAAGTTTTATGCTGAAATTCTAATTACAATGAACAGCTGGTTAATGTTCGAAAAAATTTTGCCGTGTTTTTCAATACTGCACTCACTTGCTAGATCGGTTGTTATCATTACTTGGGAACATGCAGTCCATGAAAATGGCACTATAATTTTTGTTAAGTGATACCACATTAGCTGGGATCGTGGATTACGCTTTTGGCAACTGTCAGATTTCCTATTTCTTACTGGCCGGTTAAGAATATTTTTAAGGAAGTTGTTTGTTAAATCTTTTTATCACAGAATATTTGATTTGCTTACTGGTTACTGCGTGGCTGTGGGTGAGAAAAACATCTTTGCTGCAAATGCAAACAGCTTACAAAACGTCAGAATTTGGTGCAATATAGCTTTGCCTAATTTAGATTTTTCTCAGTGTACTCTAAAATACGCTAGTCTCATGGCTGTTTCATGCTGAAGATACATTCATCTGGATGTTCTTGCACAAAACTTTGCTTATTAGGTGTATATGATGCAACTAAAATCCATTCCCAAGTTATATTCAACCACAATTTTAATTTTCTTTGTCTCCCATGATAATGAATAATCTAACCCTATAAAACAAAGGAAATTCTGAGTCAATCTTGTTTCAGGGCTTGACATTGGTGGTGGTTAACTCATCAAATACATATATCTTATTGGACAGTTTAGTGTGTAGTATTGTGGGACATTTTTACGAGTTATTTTGGAGAGCCCGTAGGGCAAGTCAAAATACAAGAGATGAGTATAATTATCCCTCGATACTACATACTAAACCATCCAATAAGAGATTTATAATTCAACTCGCGATGTTTTAAAGTAGAACTCAGTAAATACGTAAAATGAGAATGTGTGACAGATTAACGTGACTCCGTTGCAAGTCCAGTTTTCGTGTGCTTTATGCAATGTTATTGCTGATTGGTCTAAAATGAAAACTTGTCAAACTAGTTTACTCAAAATCAAATGTTGTGGGATTTCTCGGGTTTTCTTTGGCACTTCGGGGGAGCTTCGGGGTGTTATCTTTCAACTATTTGCCAGGAAAACAGAGATGGAATGACAAATAATTGTGAGGCTTAAGTTGGTCTTCCGGTTATTTTCATTAATTTAATTTAACTGACTGCAGGAAGGTAAACTGAGCAGAGCCACTTATGATGGAAAGATGAAAAATCTCCCATTTGAAGGAGTTAAAGAGCTACTCGTAAACAACAGACTTGAAACCTCATCTTCGCCAGGATTAGTACTAACATTAAGTCTTTGGAGAACGTCTAGAGTCTTCCATATCGAGTTTCCTCACATTTTAAAAGGACTAGTAGTGAAGAATGTTAAGCTCCTTGGCCGGGATTGTATTTAAGAGTGACGGTCAGGAAAAATGGACTAAAATCTTAATTTTGTTGCAAGAGTTGAAAAATCAATTTTTTTTCATTTTATGTTCTTTTAGGTAGATAAGAAACCTAACGTAGATTTTTCCTGCCAAAAGCGATTTTTTTTTTGTTAGAAAAATTAGAAGATTGGTTTTCAATGCCGGTGTCTCAGACTGCCCTAATTTTTAACCTCAAATTCACTAACATCAACTTTCCCTTGTGTTTGCAAACGAAGTTGCATGGAAAAATTTGGTCACTTTCCATGAAAAGAAAAATTCTTTTTCTTCCACTTAAAGATACCTTCAGGGCAATAGCAAAGCTCATCGTACTGAAATAATTCAAAAATGAGGGATAAATTTTCAGGATAACAAAAACTTAAGTTTGTTACTCATTTTCAACGGCAATATTTAACATGTGGTATAACTCCAAATTCTCTTAATGCTACTTAAATCACAAATTTTGGGTTGAAAATATGGCCATTTTGAGACTCAGACCACAAAAACTGATATTCTTACTTTTCTCGCAAATAAAAGGCTTTTTGCACGAACAACTTAGATCAGATTACTGATCTACCTAAAAGCTATTTGCGGACAAAAAATGAAGGAAATCGATTTTTCAACTCCTGCCACTCGATGGTCAATATTTCCTGACCATCACTCTTAATCAACGTGTTTGTGTCACCGATAATTTTTTTCGCCATGCATCTCACGCACATGTTCAGGTCTGTTTTGATCTTCGCTGTTGTATTTTGAACTTATAATGTTTGTATGTTCTGACTATTTGTAATAAATTGTTGAAACACGGTTTTATTCAACCTTACAATTTCGGGAAACAATGCATTTTCTACCATGTGCAACGTGAGTAGAAAACCGGTCAAACTGGTCTACCGGTGTACAAATACGTGAGATATTTGAACTCGTTTTGGTTGTTATTTGTACTCTACTGAGTGAAGTTGAATAATAAATCATGACACCAATGAATTTTCATTTTTGGCTAGTGAAAGACATGTTGACCACCAGAATTATGAAGGCAAATTTCTTTGTCAACTGCAAAAGATGAATTTACTACTGACAGAACAGGGCCGTACCTAGGATTTTTTGTCTGCGGGGGCAAACTCGGTTTTCGTGAGATTTTGGACCAATATAGCTACAAGAAACAGCCCAGCAAAATCAGACACTATGTTAGAGAAAAAACATTTAGTTTTCCTGGCGGGGGCAACTGCCCCCTTCGCCCCCCCGCTATGTACGGCCCTGCAGAAGTGTGGTACAATTTAAAGGGGGAAGATGGCGAACTGTTGTTGATGGAAGATACTTAAAATGTGCATGCATATAGCGAAAAGGGCTTATAAATGGAGGGGTTTATATAATATAAAGCGCACTGAAACAAGCTAGCAGTGGTGATCAAATTGCATTTTGTGTTTACTGGTTTTTACTGAAGCTTCAAAATGTCATAATAAATTAAATTCATTTCAAGACGTGCAAGGGTGGGGCTTATACCCAGGGGGGGTATAATCGGATGCATTTTTGGATTTTTTGTTTGCTGGTAAATGGACCTATACTGGCAGGGCATATAACTTGGGGGGACTTATAAGTGGTATTTATTGGTATTAGTTACAAAAACAAGTTATGCAAAGTATACGTAATGCATTAAATAATGAAAGGGAAAAATCATTGTATACAGAAGGGGAAAAAGAACAAAGCAAAACGCATGGGATGAAGCTACACTCAGCTGAGACTGGATCCAAGTGTCCCTATCTCACAATTTGGTCTCAAATGAAGGGGGTGATAAAAGGAAAGTGACAGCAACAGAAAGAAAAAAAATTCCCAGAACTGGGAAAAACATTTTCCCATGGTTTGAATGTAGCTGTATATTTGTTTATTTAACCAGCTGGATGTTCATAATTCTGTAATTAACTTTAGTATTATCAGTGATTTGTTTGCCTGTTATAAAGTGAATGATGTTTCTGTTTGCTTGATGTGTTTCACTTTACAGCTGCTTGGTAACTTGTTTATATTCATATGTGCCAACATCACAGGAGTTTTTACAAAGTATCCTACTGAAATTTCACAGCGCAGAGCTTTCCTTGAAACTAGGAGATGCATAGAGTCAAGATTGACAATAATGAAAGAAAATCAAAATCAGGTACATGACTTCTATTAGTTTGTAAAAGTTATTGTTTTGAAAAAGGTGGGTGTAGACAAAACCTGGGTCCAGACCCATAGGTGTTATTGTTGTTTTTATTATTATATTTGAAGGTCTTCAGTGTTGCTGTTTGCAGGGCAAAGGCAGAACCTTCAATCATTGCAGTGTACCTTCATTTCTCTATTATTTTAAGACCCTGAGTATTGGTCTGGCCCCAGAGTTCAAATCTACAAAATTGACTGAACTAGTCCTGCCGTGGATACTTTGGAATTACACTAAAGTATATTTAGAGATTTATTTCAAGTCAACTGCGACAAGGATAGAAAATTTAAAATCTCTGATTTCAGGCTTTTTTTAAGTACAATAGAGTTACTGTAATAATGGGAAGTGCTTGATTAGGTTCTTGGGGCCATTACTTTGGGCAAATTTAACTAAAGAGGAAAGGAACATCAGAGCTTCAAATAACGGCCAGTCAATGGAGAATGTGTGGTCAAAAAAAGGCTTTGTCCAGTCAAATCCTTGACTGACCGGACATCTTGTCCACTCTTTTATGCTTCTAATGTAATTCAGACCTTCACTTTTTTAAATATACGATTGGTCAAGATTGGATATTGTTGATGATCTTGAAGGAAAAAAAGTTGGGGGAGAGAGAGAAAAAGGAGACCAGATCAAGAACGTTTATTACGTAAACCGTTCATAACCAGGGTAGGTCGCGGAAAAGAGATCGGTATTGTGCTGATTTCACGAACGTTTGTACTGAAACAAGACGGAAATTTTGCCAATTTTGGGGGAGGGGGGAAATTAGGAGTGTTAGCCTGTGCAACAATAACAACAACAGAAACACCAACTACTTGTAAATGTTGGCTTTTAAAGCCGCTGATTTTTTGCTCAAAACTCCGGCTTGCTTTGCGATCTCATATTCGCTCACACAGATATATATATTTTTTTAGAGATCATCATTTGCTCTTTTAACAACAATCAGCTCAGAAATGTGCCAATGGCAAAGCTTTTTATGTCGTGCACTGGCCAGTTCCCAGTTTTTTGCAATAATAATGCATCAATCAGCGGCTTCCCCCTGGGGGCCACCCCTGGGAACCCTGGGGGATTTGTCCAAATGCCCATTCAAACCTCATCAAATCCCCCTGAGAAATTCTGACAAATCCCCTGCCCCCTGGATGCAACGTATGAATTTTACGCACAAAAACTAGCCGTTTGCTTTGCTTAGACCCTCCATTTAAAGTTTGTTGTATTTCATTGCAGTTGGCCCCACTTGACTAAATAGTTGTATTGTATAATTTTTTTTCCCCTTTCTTTTAAGGTTTTGAGGGCTGTTATGTAAACTACTTGGTTACTGGTAATAATGTAGTTTACCCTTGGTCAATAAAGTTTCTTTCTTTCTTTTTCTTTCTAAAAATGGAAAAAAGGCATATGGTTTTTGAGCGCTGTTAGTCCCTGGGATGCACCTGAAATTTGGTGAATTGGGTACTACCCAGGACTGGACTCCTAAAAATAGAAAAGGACCCTCAATTTTAGGTTGCTGGAGTTCCCATGCATGGACCACTAATTTTTAAAAGTATAGGAACTCTGCAGGACTCTCATGGTATAATCACCTACAGATCCTTGCACTTAAAGCAATGAGGGCGCAAAGTGAATGCATCGAACAACATCCGGGAATCATCAGTAGCGTGTACCGTTGACCAGCAAATCCTCAGGGTCTGCCCCCTGGGGTGCAATCTCTATGAACAAAAGTGATATTTTCTCCCACACCCTCAGGCAACAAATATCTGACAAATTATCTTGACAAATGCCCTTGGGTTCCCATGGGTGCCCCCCAGGGGGAAGCCGCTGATTGATGCATAATCTAAGAAGACCTGGTAGTTTTGGGACATTTTCTTGTTATAGTGACGAAGTTTCAATAAATTTGCAAGTTTACGGCAAAAAACAGCCCTGTCAGCCAAGATAAGTCTCAAATATGTTGAACTGACATGTATTTGGTAAGACTTCTACCGAATTGCGAGGTATTTCGTGTGTTTTTGTGAATTTTGCGGCTCTGCGTCTGTGCGAAATTTCAGAAGCCCGCGCTGCAGGGCAGTAACCATGGTTTTTCATTTTCCGGAAGTTGCGAGTTTATTGCTTCATCCTCTATAAACAGGGCTTCTGATATTTCGCGCGGTCGCGGACCTGCGAAATTCAGGTTTTTCCGCGAAATCCCGCGAAATTCCCAAAAAAACACGAAATACCGCGAAATCCGCCAGAAATATTTCCAAATACATGTCGGCAAAACATATTTAATACTTATCTTGGCTATTAGACCTGTTCTATTCACCCCAAATGTCCAAATTTATCTTGAAACTTTGTTACTGCAACGAGTAACAGCGTCTCAAAACTACCAGGCGTTCTTAGATGAACGTTGCGAAAAACTGGGTACTAACCATAATGTTAACAGCTTTAGCATTCGCTCATTTCTCGAGTGAACTGTTGTTGAAAGAGCAAATGATTATCCCTGTTAAAAAGACGTTAAACAGTGCTGGTCATATCAACGCAAAATTGATCGATTTTAACGAAATTTGCCAAAAAATCCAGCGAAATCGGCTGTTTTTTACTGATTGTTTCTTGGAGAAGTTTTCCCCCAAAATTTCCCGTGAAATCGGCCGATTTTTCTAAGAATTTGCCCCGAAAATCCTTCAAAATTTGACTTTTTTCCGCTAAAATCCCGCGAAATTGGCCGATTTTTCTGCGAATTTTGACTTTTCTCCCGCGAAAATCCCGCGAAATCGGCCGATTTGTGAGCAAATTTTGACTTTTTTTCCCGCGAAAATCCCGCTAAATCGGCCGATTTTTCCGCGAATTTGCCCCTGAAAATCCCGCGAAATTTTGCGTTTTTTTCCGCGAAATATCAGAAGCCCTGTATAAAGTCGTCACCCTAAACTCAGGAGTAGGGTTGTAGTATTGTAAAGTATTATTATACAGTCCACATGTATTTTACTGTAAAGTGCAATCAGATAATCCTAGATGAAAGACATTTGTCTGTCCAAAAATGGGTTGTGTCTGAGCAGAAATGGGTTTGATGGGACAACTTGACCGACGCCATCCGGGAAATTATTTCAAGCCCTGAACATGAAGCTCTGTGAGCTTTTAATGATAAAAAAAGGCATTGTTGACTCTAATACTGTTACAACCAGCTATGTTCCGAATAAGGTTGGAAGTTAAGACTTGATTTTTTTCTCTTTATTTTAGGAACGTCTGCTGCTTTCAGTTTTGCCAAGATATGTTGCCATGGAGATGAAGGCAGACATAGAAAGTAGTAGAACAGATACTTTGCAGTTTCACAAGATTTACATCAAGAGACACGAGAATGTTAGGTTTGTAATTGCAGTCATATTACATGTACTTATTAATAAGTAAATCTGCTGTTCATCTCTGTGAATAATAGTCATAAGACAGTGATTGTTTTCTAAAGAGTTAAAGCACCACTATATCTCAATGTTATTCAATTCCAATTCAATTTTTTTTCATTTACACACAATTTGCTATTGATTGTTTTATCTTCAAAAACTTCAAGACTGTATTTATTGCTGTTCCAACAATAGAAGGAATTGAAAAGTAATGATAAAAGACACTGATATGTGTTTAATGGAGAATTAATATATTTGAAAATGCTATTTGTCCCTTTGTTGATTAATGGGATTTTTATGAAGGAAATGTCCCCGGTGTTTTATCTTCAAGCAGCTTTGTATCTTCTGGTGTATAGCCTTAGCCCAAACACTAGTACATGTACATGTAGATGTAGATATGCTGCACTTGTTGATATGCCCCTTCTGAAGGTTCAAATGTGAATAAAGCAATAGTGTTTAAATGTAATAATGTGGAGATCAATGTAGCTAATATCAGCTAATCAAGCTTATTGATTAGACAAGCTGGTTATATTCTTAACTGGTTCTTCAAAATTGTGCCAGCATCTTTGTGTCCCATGCAATTTGAGCCATTGGTAAGCCCTCTTTCAGGCAGTGAAATTCCCTCCTGGCTGTTAGTTTGCCTCATACTTTAGCTACATCCCTGATTATCTCTCTGTTTTCTGTTCTCTGTTTTCAGTATTTTGTTTGCTGATATTGAAGGATTTACAATGCTTTCATCTCAGTGCACTGCTCAGCAGCTTGTTCAGTATCTGAATGAATTATTTGCCAGTTTTGACACACTTGCTGTGGTATGTTTTTGTTTTTGTTTTTTATTTAACGTTCTTTTTATTATATATTTATTTAGATGCTTCCACTTAGTTATGTTAGCAAAAAAATAATAAAATAACTGGACAATCGGTTTAAATTTTATCTTCTGTTGCTTTGGACATGCTATGGTTGTGACAAATGATGCTGAGTTTGAAATAATGCAAAATATAATTAAACCAAGGATAAATTGAACCGCAATGTTGAGAAAGGGATTAACAAATGTTAAAATCAAATTCACAATGAGCAAAATTCACATTGTGTAGTTCCAGAAAATATCCAGACCCCCACCACAGAGGGAATTTCACTTAGGACCCCCCCACCTCCCTGGATTTTCCATTTTTGCAGGGAACTGATGACCCCCCACCCCTTCGGAATTTCCACAAGTGTGACAAAGACCCCCCAACCCCTCTGGAAAAGTTCATTTTCACGAAGAAAGACTATTAAAGTAGAAGAATGAGGCAACTTATGGTTAGTACCCAACGGTTTCCATTTATTTGAGTGATCTCGCAACATTAAAACACACTACACCACCACAAAGTAACCTGATCTGTAATTTTTGCTCATCTCTTACTTTAAATGAAACAGAGAAAGTTAATAAGTCGGTTATATTTGTGAATTTGCCTTAATCAGGGCAAGCTTAGATTTGTTATTCGTCTCATGGGCGTAATGTTGATAGAATTAACGCCATTTCGTGCAGGAATGCAGAACAAGTCAAAGTTACAACCACAAAATTAATGCAAAACAAAGAGGAGAATAAAAACTCTGAATGCTGAAATGATAACAATGAATACCCCTGCATTTTGAAGATACTTGATGGGAAACCAAGTTCAATTTACTGTTTTTCGATCGACTGATGCGACGTGATGCGCGATGGCCGTATAAATGTTGGTGAAATCAACACCATTTTAGCGAGAATTTGATCAAGAACATGCCATACATTCAACCAAAAAATTAAGGGAAAATGAAAAGGAGAATAAAAACTCTTCATTCTAAAATGGTTACAATAATAGCAATAGCTTGTGCTTCGTGAGGCAAAATTGCCACTCTTCTCATCTATCGATCGACTGACGCAACGTGGTGTGTTGCGTGATGTGTTGCATGCGTTGATGTTTTGGGGAAGACTGGTAATGAGTAATGGCGGCCGAATATACGAGCATGCGATAAAACGAGTTGTAGTCGGTCTAATATTCCTTTGAAATTACATCCAAAACACTTTTGCAAGAAAGGAAACCTGGTTAAGATTAAAAGGAACAATCTTAAGTGATATATTTCAAGTTATTTATGTCCTAAAAATGATCTACCAGGTCGGTAACAAGCAATGTTCGATCTCAGGTCAAAAACAAAATGATATTGCCCCCCTGGAAAGTGATTTTATGGTCCAACCCCCCTCCCTTCTGGAATTTCCTGGGCCTCTGACCCCCCCACCCTCTTGGAATTTCCAATTCCCTCCGTAGTGGGGGTCTGGATATTTTCTGGAACCACACATCACACAATTAACATGCAATTTTGAATACTATGTTACTTGACTCTTTAGTCTTAGAAGTGGCCAAGAAAAAATATTACGATATTCCTTTTGGTAACATCATAAGAAATAAATTTTACTTTGCAAAAATCTCCTAGCGGTGTTTGATTTGAATGGTAATTACACAATGGGATTTCATCTAAAGATTTAATAGTGACGACTAATCACACCTTACGTTAGCCAAGGAATGGGTTAATATTGTTTTAAATTTGTCCCAGAATTTAGCAATTTCTTATTATAACCTCGAAAGGTGGTTTCTGAAGGATCAAAATGTGTGCTTGTTCTTTTTCCTGACTAAGGAAACCCGTTCAGCTGTCAAATCAGCAGCCCAGTTTCTGTTCCCAAAGTTATGGAAAATTAGTTTTCAGCCATTTTTCTTTAGTTGCGGGAATACATTGTGTGTTTCCTAAACCATGCATAGTGATTTCAACAGGGCTTCTGATATTTCGCGCAGACGCGAAGGTATTTCCGCGAAATTCCCCCAAAAACGCGAAATACAGCTAAATCTGCCAAAATATTTCCAAATACTTGTTTCAAAACATATTTAATACTTATCTTGGCCATTAGACCTGTTTTATTCACCCCAAACGTCCAAATTTATCTTGAAACTTCATCCCAAAACAAGTAAACAACGTCCCAAAACTACCAGGTGTTCTTAGATTAATGTTGCGAAAAACTGGGCACTAACCATAATGTTAATAGCTTTAGCATTCGCTTATTTCTCGAGCAAACTGTTGTTGAAAGAGCAAATGATTATCCCTGTTAAAAAAACGTTAAACAACGCTGGTCATATCGACGCAGAATTGATCGATTTTAGCGAAATTTGCCAAAAAAAATCCAGCGAAATCGGCTGTTTTTTACTGATTGTTTATTGGCGAAGTTTCCCCCCGAAATTTCCTGTGAAATCGGCTGATTTTTCTAAGAATTTGCCCTTTAAAATCCTTCGAAATTTGACTTTTTTCCGCTAAACTCCCGCGAAAGCGAACAATTTTTCGGCGAATTTTGACTTTTCCCCCGCGAAAATCCCACGAAATCAGCCAATTTTTCCTCGAATTTTGACTTTTTTCCCGCGAAATCGGCCGATTTTTCCGCGAATTTGCCCCTGAAAATCCCGCAAAGTTTTGCTGTTTTTTCCGCGAAATATCAGAAGCCCTGTTTCAAGGTTAAACCAAAGTTGCTTTAATGTATTAGCCTTGGAAAATGAGTCTTACAGCTACATGTATTGTCAAAGTTGTTTTTGAAGCCATGGGCCCATTTATGAATAAACGCTAACAATACATTCTGGTAGCTATTGTACAGCCAGTATGTAGAAGGACAGATTTTTGTTCAAGTTCTTAATATTATAAATGTCTATCTTTTTATTTAGGAGAACCACTGTCTACGTATTAAGATTTTGGGCGATTGTTACTACTGTGTATCAGGGTTGCCAGATCCGCGTCCTGATCATGCTCACTGTTGCATTGAGATGGGCTTGGAAATGATTGATGCTATTGCGTGAGTAGATTGTGTGGTTAGGCATACTTATTACTGTATATTTTCAGCGCAGTCACCAAGATTTCAAGTTGCTGGGTATGTGCATTAGTAGGCAGAGAATTGAACAGCTACAGTGGGAAGTTCTTTCGGTTCTGTTTCTGTCGTTCTTTTGTTTCCCATAAAAGTAGCAAAGGGTCTTGCTCATATTAGTGGGGGGAAATCCCTGGTTTGTGGCCCTCAGTGACTGACCTTTGTTTGTGGTTCTGAAGCTTTTCTAAAATTATGTTGTTTTTTTTACAGGAGTGTGCGTGAAGCAACAGGTGTTAATTTGAACATGAGGGTTGGCGTACACATGGGAAAGGTTCACAGTGGAGTATTGGGATTAGTCAAGTGGCAGTATGATGTGTGGTCTGATGATGTGACAACTGCCAATCATATGGAGTCAGGAGGACTTCCAGGGTATATTAATTTGATTTTTGTGTAGTTAACAAAAATAATCTTATGAGCTTAGGACTGAAATAAACCTTTTAACTCGTAAAGTAGTCAACTAAAGGTGCTTTTGTCATTAAGAGCTCAATTTAACATTCATGCATATTAATGCTCTGGATTCAACATGGCAAATTAAGCTTTAAATCCTTTAAATTTTATTTTTCATCTTGTGTTAGTTTTTTTCTAGTTGATGAAAGGTTCATTAGGGTTCTGGTTGTCAGCATTTTTGATTCACTCTTGTATTACATACATGTACTTCATTTCAGGCGTGTGCACATAACAACATCTGTTCTTAACTGTTTGAATGGTGATTATCAAGTTGAGGAAGGGTGTGGTCAGGAGCGTGATTCATATCTGAAGCAGTACAACATTAATTCATACTTAATAGTTGCTGAGCACCCAAGGGTGAGTTTTTGTCTTTCTATAGTTTCTTCTGTTTAAACGTAAGTGAAGTTTTCTTACATGTACTGTAAATGAATAAAACTGGGTTTACCCCCAGAGTCAAAAATTGAGAACATTACCAACTGAGAGAAATCTAATGTCGCTAAATTCAACTTCAAATAAACTTCACTTGAGGTATTGGAACTGCTATAAAGTGAAAATATGATCATGCTTTTAAAGTCGCTTCTTTGAAATGTACTCTTAACATGAACTCAAATTTTAAAGAAGAAGTATTTTCGTTAAATAGAAGCCGAGAAAACAAAGACCAAAATTCTCTTAGATTCTGCTTCCCAAAATAAAGTATGATTGTTTTGATATTTCTAAATCACCTAAATGACCTTTTATGCAAATTGGCTCGTTTCTAAGGCTAAAACATTGTTTACAATGCCATATTGAGAGCACATCACGTAACGAATTCAAACAAAGATTTTCGCATTTTCTTGCCACTTTCCATGCTACAGTTGGGTCAGTGTTGCAACAAACATTAAGAATAGCAGTTTGCTCGTAAGAATTCAAGCTGGCAACGAAGAAAACAGTGCAGCGCGACGAAAATTGAGAGCGAATTAAGGGCAATTTTGCGGCTGCCTCGGACCGCACTGAAAACAAATTGATGTAAAAATATGAGGATTTACAATATCGCGCTGAAACTTGCCAGGTTTAGTCACATGATGTCAGGGAAAAATGTATTAAATTCCCAGCTGTTGCCGGAATATTTTTGAATTTTGGCAGCAGACTGAAGTTATAGGGCATTACAAATATATTCCACCTCTATTATCTCAGGAAAAATTTACTGGCTACTGCCTGGAATTTAAACGTAAATGAACAATCTAATTATAAGTCAGTTTCTAGATATCTAGTTTCTAGATATATATTTCCTAGATATTGAGAGAAAGCCAGAAATATGGAATTATTGAATATTTGACCCTGCGATAGAAATCAGAAATAACACCTTAGGTGTGAAAATTGACACCTCAGACATCATTTTTCTGAAAGCTCGGCTCTCGCTTGATAGGTCTGTGTAATTTTTCATTCCAAAATTCTGTATTATTTCAGAAATAATTTTTTCAAATGGAATGGCTTAAAGCAAATCTAATACCTTAAGTGAAAGGTGTTATTTGTGTCATCTATGATTTCCAATGTTGTCCCTAAAAAAAGGTAAAAAAACTGATGGCTAATGAGTGGATAGTGAACAGCTTTTCAAAGCCTTTCAAGGGTTTGATAAACACTTTGAACCCTGGGAGCAAAAATTTTTAACGGCTTTGAAGGTGTTCCAATGGGTTGTCTTGATTAAAAACTTAAAACTTTATGAGCCAAATATTTAAACGAAGTCTAACTTAAACCGCGGTTTAATGAATCTTTGAACCTCCAGATCTCTTCTTTGGTGGGTTGTTTAAAGAAGATAAATGCTTTTCTAGTCTTCTCCATATGCTTTCATAAAACTGTTCACAATAAATGATGTTTAGATAAAATTGTTGGGCAAATTGAAAATGACTTAGAACGCGTTTTTGTTAAACGCTGGCTAAACTACGTTTAAATATTTGGCCCTATAGGTTTTAAAAATAACGGAAATTTACAGGCTTATGCTTCAAAAATAAAAGTAAACAAAGACCTTCTCTGAATCCTTTCAAGTGTTTTGGATTCTAATGACTTTTTCTAACATGTCTTACTTTGTTCCAATACTTTTAACTGCAAGGCAAAAACAATTATCACGTCCATTTTAATGATTATCCAATAGTTTATGTAAATAAGTGCATTTAGCTGTTAAACAGAAAAGTGTTAGTGTATGAAATCCTGGAGAAAGTTCACCTCCCATTTTACTTTTTTTTTTTCACACACAATAATGATCAAAGAAAAAAAACAGTGAGGCATGAATGGTGTTATGAGTGGCACAGAATTTTATAATAATTTGTTGGTTGAATTTCACTCAAAATTTGTATAGAATGTTAACAGCTTCTTTCCATGAATACCTCCATAAACTCATCTTTGCTATCTGGGATGTAGTGCAGTAGGTTGTGTAATAATTATTGATAACTTGTTGAGATCTCATTGGCTTTTTTGTCCGTTGTTTTTTTTCCTGTGAATATGTTGAACATGTTGTTTGGAATTCATAGAAGGTGAGAAAAACGCATTGGTTGACATTTTCATATTAATTTTTTACCAGTAATTGTGGCACTGATGTTGCTGTTATCACATCAGAGCTGTCTCAAACTTGAGTACTTTAGCCACTGACATTACTTTCAACAATTGTTTTTAAGGGTTTGCGTAATGTAATTTGGTTTATTAAGTTTATGGGGTACCTTCAAGTCAAAAATTTTCGTCAACTTTTATTCCTTTCTTTGTTAAAGTAGATGGCCAAGTATGTCTTTCATGTGAGGGAAACTACTCAAAATTACTGAATAATTACTGGGAAATGATGTTTTACATTTTGATGGGAAGTAGGAGTTAAGAATAATTTGTTTTCTGACACTATTTTGTCTGTACACTTTCTAGGGCTCGAACTCATAGAGAATTTGTTCAAACGGCCTCAGATTTTGAAGTGCAGTATTTTAATGACTGGAAAACAATCAATAGTGTTTGCTTGAGTTTTTTTTTCTCAAATTTGTTTAGTTCAGAGGCATTTCTTTTCAACCACCCCATTGAAAAAATAAAAATGACAAAACTAGCACACATTTTAGCACTTTGATCAGATCAAAAGTACAGTGTAGAGGTCAGGATTAGCCAATATTCAACTTATTTATTACCTCAAGCTTGCTTTTAAATCCTTGACTGAACTTACTTCTCATCAGTCAAGATACCCCTAGCGTACATAGATATTAATGTTAGCCTTATATTTAGTGAATGATGTCATGGCTTATTTAAAATTTAAAATTAATGTGTTAAACAAATTTGAGTTTATAGTAGGTTGAATGAAAATTTTTTCTTTCTCTTGTATTCTGTTTCATGTTTCTTCAATCCACATTGTACACATTTTTGTGTGAGCAGAAGGTAAGAAGCTCAGCTCTGTGAAGAAAAATTCCATATTGTGGTGTAGTCAATTACATTGTGGAATGAATGTTGTCATAGCAATTAGGCCATTATCTCAATGGCATCTATTTGTTGTAGTATTATTAAATGATGCCGTCATGAAAATGGTCTGTTGCTTTCTTAATAAATTTTGTAAGAAATGCTGATCAGCTGGGTCAAAAATGTACTTGTGTCTCAAACAGGCAGGAAATCAAGTTTTTTTCCCTGGTTGACCTATGGTGTCGGAAATCTGGCCAAGGATGGGGTGGGTGGGGGGGGGAAGGTCCAACATTCCACGAAATTAAATGAAAGCTGGACCTCGGGACATTATTTAATGTAACCCTTTGTGTTGAAGGATAGTTTGTAAGACAAACTGAGGAGTTGTGCATTAAATAGTGATCCAAATCATTAGAAAAAAGTTAGCGTTTGTATTGTGGCCGAGTATGCATTATTTTGTCACAGAAATGTTTTCTTTTTCATGCTGAACCTGCATCAAGCTACGGAGATAGCAGGTTTACAGTGAAATATGTTTTAACCATGGGTTTAAATACATCAGTCCTATCCTTAATTCTTAAAAAAATTCTCTTATGTCTGGTATTCATTATGTTCAAAACAGTGATGGTACCAAGAAGAGGAACCTCTAATAGTTCCATTATTGTTGACTCACTTGTTCCCAGAGAAATCAACACAAATACGCCACCTTTGTCCAGGAAGTATATAATCTGATGATGTTATTACATGAATTTTTCAGCCAAAGGATACAACTATTAAAGATAATAAACAGGAGGATCAAGAAAAGAAAATGCAAGATAGGTAAGTTTATCAATTTCTCATTTCATCTAGTACTACCAGTTATTTTCACCTCAATACCTGGTACTTGTCTACCATCTTTAAAGAACTTATGTATTAGGACAGCAGGAAGAAGAGGATGGTAAACCTTGTGTGTCAAGCAATAATTATGTTTGGAAATATTTTCCACCAAACTTCACTTTCCTTCCAAGAGATATCTTTGTAAAAGACCAGAAAACACCAGTGTTAAGTGAAGATCACCACAAAACATGCACATAATAGGCCTGTTACGTTTGTCACCCACAAACGTTTTGCTGTCTTTCTCATTCTGCCATCCTGTTGTGTAAGCTCACTTTTGTGAAGATGAAATAATCAGCATGTCACAAGCATGGGACAAAGAAAAACCTGAGTCCCAGACAGCATTCGAACCTATGACCTCCCAAACACTGGGTGGGCACTCTACCCACTGAGCTGTGGAGAACTCATGGAGAGCGAGGCCATATACTAGGTTCATATTTGACATGCGTCCTGCATACTGCTAGGATCAGCAATGTCGAGATCATACTGTATGGTGAAAGAATGAAAGATGGTAAATTTTAAGCTCGGTGAACAAATTTGAAGATGAAATGATCAGCATGTCATGAGTGCATCCACCAAACTTACTTTTGTTCATGCCTAGTTACCTACAGGTGATTTGAAGATGTGCCATATTCACAGCTAACCCCTATTTTCTGTAGCCCATTCAGGGTTTGTGCATTTTTGTACAATCAGTGAAATTACATTCCTGGTAGGTGGTCATTAGAAATCCTTAAAAATGGTTGCAAATTTTTGTGTGAACCCTGCCTTTTCCTGTCCTCTATCAGACACATGCCCTTTGAGGGATAGTCACCTTTGCATGAGTTTGATCATAAAGCTGTAAGCTGATTTTTATGTATGTAATCTCTTGTTACTGAAAAACACAAGGCTGCTGCTTCAGAAAATTTTTTGGGAGCCCTTTGGGCTCCTAAAATAAAACATGAGGAGCCCTAGCCACATTTCTAGGAGCCCATTGCATATTAATCAATAAACTTAAATAAGTAAGCAGATGCTCGAAACTTGATTCATGTGACAAATTGAGTTTTGAATTTCCAGAAAAGTGCTTGTTTGCTTACTTTTAACAGCGGAAATTTTTTGCCTACAGTTGATGAACATGTGTTTTATGTTTTCATTTTAAAAGCACAAAATGAGCAGGAATTCTGTTGTTTGTTCAGTGGAAGTAGGCATAGAGGTTATTGCCATCGGAATCATAAGTTTTTGGTGTTCATGCAGGCTCCTTGTTTAAGATTTTTGCCCCCTGTGAGCAAATCGTAGGAGTCTCTGGTGACCAGGCACCTGTTAGGCAGCAGCCTTGTAACATGTCATCAAGCTTTCATTGAAATTAAAAGTTGTTGTTTTTTTTAATGATTAAAAGAGAAGTTGTATCTCAGATTACAAGATATATAGGAACGTGTAAAGCTACATTTCCATCAATTAGAGTGTACAAATATATAAGAAATATATGTTATGATTATTTTTAAAGGTTAGGAATCACAGCATCAAACCAGCAAGATCCAGAGGATGAAGTCAATGAATTTTTAGGGAGCTCCATAGAAGCACGGAGTATTGATAAGTAAGTTGTCTTTTGGGGTGCCTACATGTATTGGAAGGGAAAGAGACTCTGGGATATGGGATTTGTTTTGTAAATCTAGTCTTGCCTTGAGGATGGAAAGAGATTGCCACTAAGTCATCTCCCCTACTACAACACAGAAGGTTATCCAGGGTTCATACAGAGTCTTGAATTCTTGAAAACGTTGCGAAAGAACGTTGCAAAACGGTTTTCCAGACCTGGAAAAAGTCTAGGAAATTGATAAGGATAAAGTCTGGGAAAGTGGTACCATGTTGTTTTTTCGCGGGCTACAACAAGTGCTTTAGCTAGTGAATTTTTTTCCCGTGGTCTCGCCTGAAGCCAACACATTCAATAATACACATGAAGATTGAGAAGTTTCACAACTCTCTTATGTCCTCATTGCACCATGGTTTCTGAACATTTGAAGAGCAACATGAGAATAGCTTGCTTCCTGCACTTTTCAAGGCCTCTGTTGATCACCTTTTTAATAACCTTGAGTCTAGTCTTTTTTTTTAAAAAAGTCTGGAAAACTAAAGTCTTGAAGTTGGGATCCAAAAAATATACCAATCTTGGCTGGTCACCACAGTCTATATTTAGTGCCTATATTAATGTCACTTTCTGTAACTAAAATTGTTGTAGCTGTAATCATATCCACTCTGGCATGAACATAATAATATTATTCAATCCTGCATCCCTATCCTTAGCTCTCTCTTGTGCCTTTTTATTCATTTACATTCTTCACTGACAGAATGTTTTGTGTTATTGCAGACTACGGAAAGACTATGTGCGGCCACTGCTCCTCACTTTCAAAGATCCAGCTAAAGAAGATCTTGTATGTGTTTATATTTGACTGGTGCATGTATTCTATACAACCTGGCTTTAAAGAGCTTAATTGTTATTGTTCTGAAAACATCTGCATGATAGAAATCAGGCAGTAAGAAAAAATTACTGTTTTAAACATCTGGCAAATTTTAAAGGCCAGGGGGGCTGAGTAGGATAACCCCCCCTCCCCCCCAAAAAAATTAATGGCAGTAAGGATATTTTTTTGAAAATACACAATGTCTTCTATTAACACTGCAAAAGCCAGTGTGCAAGTCTTAAAAACCGCTGTACACTGTTAGTTTTACATGCAAAGTTAGTGGTTTCATTTCAAGGTATTTTGCAGCAGAAATTTGACATCCACTTGAATATGAATGACTGTCGCTAAAGGTGTTTCGATAGTTTTTTGGAGGCCATACCGATATTCTTCAATGGCCTTAAAAGTGATTTTACCAGTGATTGACTATGAATTGAAGTTTGTCAAACTGTAGTTTTTTTTATGACAACAATAAACAAAAAATATTGAAATGGATAAAAGCCGAATTTTACGCAATCTAGACCTGCTCCTCAAAAGTTAACACCAGGAACTTAAAGTGTGTTGGTATGGCCTCTGAAAAACGGTGTTGAAACACCTTAACTAACAATAAAAATATACATAAACATATGTTGTCTTTATTTTGTTTGCCTTTCTAGTACTCCCAAGAGAAAGATAGAATGTTCAAGTCCTATACAGCATGCATTTGTCTTCTGTTCATTTTTATATTTGTAATTCAAGTCACAACTCTCCCAAGGTATGTAATGTAACAAACAAATTCATTTAATGATGATGATACGGAAGACTAAAATGAATACAGTATTTTAGAATTGTCTGATTTTTCCTTGGCATCTGTGTAGTACCTAAAAAATAACACTCTTGCAAAATTTGAATTTGAAATGGGCAGTTAAAAATCTTGGCAACTGGTGTTTCTTTCTTTTCACCATTTTCACGTTACCCATAATACCAAAATCCTGCATACATATAAGCTTGTCTTGAGTTTCTGTTGGGATACTGTAATATGGAGGAGAAATCGGAAACATTGGTTATGCAAAATGTTTTTGAGGGGAGGGGGTAAACAAGGTGTATTATGGGCAATGTGAAAATGGTGAATTGTCACCATATATAGAGGGAGATAAATGCGAAAATTGCAATCTATGAATTTTGGTATGATATGTGAAACGTGAGTCTCTTTAGTTTCAAAACAACCAGAAACTAACAAAACTAGTTAGTAAATTCGCAAAAAGTAACAAATATTTTCTTACAGGACAGTGACTACTATGGCTGTTTTCTTGTCCACGTTGATCGTTGTTGCTGTTGTCTTTCTGCTCGTGGTAGCAGAGAAGTGCAGAGTAAGTTCAAGTCTGTCATTGATTTTTGCTCTTATGTGACATCACCTTTGATTTTGCATCACTCTTCAACAAATGGTTTTACCACTTGTAATGTAACTGAAGACTTTTTCCATAAATTTCTCCGTTACTCCTTTCTTTCCTGTCATGATTGATATACGGTTAAATTTCTCTTTTTAATGAGCAGTGTTTATAGTTCTTACAAATATACTCAACCTATATCGTTTTCCATCACTATTTTTCTAAATTCTGCAGGGTGCACCAGAAGTTGTTCGAAATCTTTCCAAAAAAATTGCCCAGTCACAAACAATTTGCAGGGTGGTTGCAACAGTACTTGTTCTCACACTTTACATCGCTGCTGTTGGAAATATTGTAAGTGGTTTTATTACCCTGTTACTGCAACAACTTTCAACTTTTGTAAAAAATAATTATGTATTATCTGAAAGGAAAAATTTTTCTTAGCATTGAACAGTTTCCATATTTTCATGATTTGTGTAAAATGAAGTATAGTCCCAGATTTTGTAACAAATTTTGAATCATTAGTCCTTTTTGCAACACTTGGATAAGAACTTGCGAAATTATCCTTTTCACGTAAGGAACCCTTTGAGTGGTTGCATGGGAGGATAACTAACTGAATGAAAGTGTAGGTTGTTGTTTTGTTATAACAGGCATTTTTGTAGTCACCATAACATTTCTTCAATATGGGCTGCATACTTCCTTTTCTGGTTCTTGATTTTGGGTCGTAGTTATGTTGTTGTTGGACAATAAAGAGCCCTTAACTTTTTTATTTATTTATTTATTTGCCTCACAAAAGTAAAAATAGAGGGAAAAATCAGCTTCATTTGATTGAGGTATTCAGACTCTTGTTTACATAGCACCTGTATCCAGCAATGCTGTTGATACTGGCTTAAGGTCCAGCAAATTGCATGCGAATAATTTTTGATAATTTTTACATGTACATATGTGTAATTATAACGTTAATGTGTCTGTAGTTTGGCTGTAACCTGAAAAGACCAACGGAAGGAACAAATTGGTGTAGTAACCATACACTGCATCCCGACAGTGCTTTCTGTGATTATCCTCAGGTGAGCAATCTGTAATCACACTTACCTTGATGTCAGGACACCTACAGCTGCATTATATGTGCAGATACAGCCCCTTTCATGTTATAGTATGGTTGTATAAGGATTTTTTAACAGTTTTTGCAATTTTTATCCACAGTACTTCACCTTCAGTGTAATGCTGTCTATGATAGGTTGTGCTGTGTTCCTTCAGCTAAGCACGATACACAAGTTTTCAATGCTGGCTCTCATGTCCACCATCTATGTTGTGATAATACGTGTTGTCTACAAAGATCTTTTCGATCATCACGACAGCATCCATTTTTGTGGGTACGTAGTAAGTAGTAGCTGGTAGTCTTAGAGGGGTTGTAACACAGCAGTATGGTTCTCTTTTTTTCAGTATTGCCAACAGACCTTACTCATTCAAGTGACTTTTTGTAAATATGCATGCATATGCAGGTGGATAGGAGGACATTTCAAAGAAACATTTCTCTTGTCTGAAATGGGAAAAACAAAACATACAAGCTAAAAAGGTCTATTACTTGCTCTTAAGGTGGATTTCCACTGTCTCGTAATTTTCACATGCACACAGTGACACACACATAAATTTACGCGCGTAAATAAAATAGAGGCAATGTATGGAAAGTGACGGGTGAACGTAAGAGTTGAACCTGGCTTGACTCAGAGAAACACATCCATCTATTTTCTGTTTAGGTCCGAGGGAGACAACTACATCAAGTGGATTGATCTTTCTATTGTGATTGTTGTCATGTTAACATTGGCATTAACTGCGCATGCGTATTTGGTAAGGATTTAAAAAATGTCCACTTAAACCAATTTTGCGTAAAATGAATTTCACCTTTTTTAAGTTCAAACCATCATTTTATCTCCAGACAAACCGTTACTCTGTCAATGTGTTCTGTTTTTATTGTCCTTTGTTTAGCTAGTATGTACAAACAGAACAGAGGCTGTGGTAAACGCCGGTCATAATAAGATTCTTTGTACACCAAATATAGAACAGGAGCATTAAAGTTGCCTTTTTTCAGTGCAAACCTCTTTCACTTCACTCATTAGTGCCCACATCAGCTTGCAATTTCGAGAATGCTAAAGCATGTGGTAAAACGTAAGTGAGCGCGTTCCTTTGGTGTCATGGCTAATTTAAGAGTAGTCAATTTTCATTTTTAGTGGGCTGCATTTCAACTTTTCTTTGCTTTTCAACAGCATGAAGAAATTTCCAGACTTGATTTCTTGTGGAAACTTCAGGTAAACGGTCTGTCTGGTTTAACCATTAGTTATGACAAAATACTTACGGACCATTCCCTAAAGCTTAGCCTGTACACAGACGTTGTTTTCTTCATCTTTTCGGAAATCGACGTGCGCTTGAAGTCAATAAATCCCGGCGGTTTTTATTTTCATACGTGCTCTCGACGATCTCTAAAAAGAAAATAGAGGGTCTGTGAAGAGGCTATGCTTAGCTTTAACTTCTCCTTCAATCCTCTTTCTCATAAGGGGGAATCCGTGATGTTGCGTGAAGAACCCGAAGAACGTCTGTACAAACTTGAGTATAGTTCGAGTTATGTGATAGCTGCACTGATAGAAACAACATGTGTTTAAAAGAACAAGGGTTCTTAATGTGTTGCTTTACTATTCCAGGATTAAGCTTCACTGTGAAATTAATAGTTTTTTAAAATATTTTTTCAGGCAACAGAGGAAAGAGAGGAAATGGAGCAGCTACGAGAGTACAATAAGAAACTACTGTACAACATTCTTCCTGATCATGTAGCACAGCACTTCCTTGCACAGCAAGCTAAGAAAAATGATGTAAGTTGATGTAAAGGCAATCTTTCAGTAACTGCTCCCTATACTTGGTTTATTTTCTCTGGTATGTTTTGGTTTTTATTCTGTTTTTATTGTGTCGTTCTCACAGGAACTTTATTACCAGTCGTGTGATAAAGTCATCGTCATGTTCTCTAGTATCTGTAATTTTTCTGATTTCTACACTGAGCTGGATGCCAATGGTGAAGGTGTGGAGTGTCTGCGTCTTTTGAATGAGATACTCGTGGATTTTGATGAGGTGAGATCATTTCAGAGAGGACTTCCTCCACCCCAAAAAAACTTCAAATGGCTTTCATGACCGTTATTACTGTGAAATTCACAAAACCGTGAACACGAGAAATATTTATGGAATGTTATTGTGTTGCGAGAAATAAGCCAATAAGGCGCGAAATAACTAAAACCGCAAACAGCAACGGTAGTTTATTTTGTGGTTTTGAGGTTTGCTCGCTTACTGAAGTTTATTGTGATTGGCCAGTACACAATCAACATGTTTCTTGAAATTTTGAAGGTGTTCACGGTTTTCTGAGTTTGACAGTAAATGTTTGCGTTTTTCCAGTCAGTGGCTGTTGAAAGTTTTTTTTTTGGGATTCCGTATCATTTTCACTGTTTGAACACTGTTTGCACTTGTCGTTGTCTTACATCAAGTTTTCTCTCTTCTGTCCCGTTACGTGCATATCACCCCGAGAAATGGCACAGGGTACAGAGGAGATATGTTTGTCGTTAGAACATCAAAACCCGTCGAAAACCTCTCAAAAAATGGGTTATTTTGATCGCGTTACAGTTTCGTTACACATTCTATAGACCGCAAGCCAAGAGACTGAGGGCTCGCAAGATCGGCTTACAGTATAAAATCCTTTCTTTTACTCGGCACTTCGGGCGTCGGTCGCCCTTCGGGCGACGTGCCGTGCGCCAGTGAGGAAATGGCTTGCGGTTACTGATTTTTAAGAGTCGATCTGGGTCAGATAAGAAGCGAAGAAATCGTTTACAGTAGATTCATAAAGATCCCATTGGGCTAATTAATCGTGCTAAGCGACAGGTATAGACATTTTTCAAGGTGAGACTTTAAATAAGTAATTCATTATTCACACGAAACTCCTCTGGACCCTGTGGAAATTGGTGTTGATTTTCATCACTTAAGTCCACGCGTTTTACTTACATTCTTCATGTGCTATAGGTACTTTGTATACGATAAGTACTTTGTACCTGTTTCTTTATAGATTATGAGTGGCAGGTTCTTAATACTTTCCTACCTTTATTCTTAAGTGGCATATTGTTGAAGGTTTTGGTCTTGTTTTTTTAGCTTCTTTCCGATCCTCGCTTCCAGTGCATTGAAAAAATCAAGACAATTGGTGACACATACATGGCAGCAGCAGGCATTAAACCGGAATCTCAGGTCAGTGGTATAATGATTAGCGAGAAAACTAAGCCCGCGTCCACACGTATCTGTTGTTTGAAAACGGAGATTTTTTCCTCCAGTTTGGCCCACCGTCCACACGTTTCCAGTGAAAACGGTCATCAAAAACGCTCCCGAGAGTGGAGATTTTTGGAAACGCCGGCTTATCGTTTTTGTGTGGACAGACAAAAACGGAGGTTTTTCGAATATGGTGAAACAAAAAAACAGCGCATACCCTCTGTCAGGCCACAATCGTATCCTCATTGTTTTGGCGTGTTCGTATAAACGGGCGACAAGGATTCGAATACGTTAACGTGTGGACAAGCCTTTTGTTGAAAACGGAGACAAAAATTTTCGTTTTTCAAAAATTTCTAGATGCGTATGGACAAGGCCTTAGGGCTTGAGCGACATCAAAAATAAATTTGTGGGCTTATCTGGGATTTTTCCTTTCATGCAGGAAAAGTTGGCAACTCTCAATCATATCGTGACAATGGCTGACTTTGCAATGGCTATGAAAAAGAAACTGACGGACATCAATTTACACTCTTTCAATGACTTCAAAATGAAAGTCGGTAAGTAAATATAGATCAGTATGTCCATAATCTGTAAAAGCCATCAAAAAAGTGTTTTCAAAGCAACAGTCACACTATTAGGATATAATATTGTCCACATACAAAAAAGTTAGATGTATATTGTATGTGTACGTGATTAACTTGGGTGTATAAAAGGTTTAAGTAGACCTCTGCCAATATTCAAATTTTTCCACCGTCATATGGCAGATCTCTTTTGATTCGATTTTTACTGGTAAGAATGTCGCTCTAATAGCAGATTCTGTTACGTTTAGTCTTAAAAGTTAACAATTCATATTTATTTTGGTAACACCACAAATATCCTCTCACACTTACAAAAGCGAAATCTCTGCGATTGTGTTGTCTTTTTATTCAGGGTTAAACTTTGGCCCTGTTGTTGCCGGAGTAATTGGTGCTCACAAACCACAGTACGATATATGGGGTGATACTGTCAATGTGGCCAGCCGTATGTACAGCACTGGAAAAGCTAACCACATTCAGGTTTGTCCTATTTCTTGTTTTAAAGAGCCATGGATTGAAATAAGGTAGTTTTTATCTTTTTACTGTGAACACCTGAAAAATTTCAGGAATACTAGCGTAATGACCAGTTACCCCAAGATCAGGACACGAGAGCAAACCACAAGACCGTTAACGTTGATCGTGGTTCTATTTTCTTGTGCCTTATTAGCTTTTTCCACACAGCACAACATCATTCCTGAAATATTTCTGGTGTTCACGGTTTTCTGAATTTTACAGTAACTTTCCAACTCGAATACTGAGTTTCGCGTGACTCTCGCGTATCTCGCGCTTCGCGCTCGCTCCCCAAAACATCTCTCTCCGCGACAATGCCTGTTGTCCAGACTATGTATTTTCTAGATATTACATGTATAAACTTGGATTGTAAGCCTGTTGGAGTAAAGAAACGGTTGAAGTTTGGTTCTGTATATCTCTACAGGTCACGCAAAGCGTATATAATATATTGTGCTCGCGCGGCTACACGTTTGAATGCCGTGGGTTAGTGGCTGTGAAAGGTAAAGGCAAGATGGTTACTTATTGGATGACTGGTAAAGAAGGAGACCAATCAAGTTAGTGTAAAGAAGTATTTATTATAGAAGCCAATGGTTTCCCTGTTGCCACAAGTGCGATTTGTACCTTACCGTCCTGAACTGTGGCATGTCACGCTAGAAATCGCAGGGATGAAAGGAGATTCTCTGCTATCAAAATTTGCGAGTCCACCTCAAAATGGAATCACTTGTTTTTTTCAAGCTGATAAATAACGTGAGTAGTAATGAGAAGGTGTCTTAGTCAACAAGCAAGGAGGAGAAACACTGTGGCTTTGAGTTGCCTCAAAGCACATTCGTGTAATTGGGCGATTCTTTGAAGAAGAGCGTAGCATGTTTGGAAAGTTGGTTGGTTTACAGACAAGTTCATTAGTACCGGATGAGAAAACTTATAGTGTAGTAGTGATTGTGGGGGGCATAAGCAAAAACGTTTTTGAGCAACGCACGTCAACCGGAACTGGGCCCTTTGCATCGTTGGGCAGTTGTTTTGCCCACATTTGCCTGCAAATCGTCCATTTTAGATAGAAGACTGTTGGCAATACAAATTTGGCACTGTCTTGGCATATTAAAACGGAAAAGGCCTCACTTCCGGTTAACGTGTGTCGCTCAAAAACGTCTTTGTTTAAGCTCTCTACTGCATTCTGCTCTCAAGTCTTTTACGATATACGTTCGATGTAAATAACTTCAGAAATGTCTTCCCAATTACGTGATCAGATTACGTTTTTTAGTTTTTAAACTAAGGAAACTGATGGGTAAATTATTACAGAAGGCTTTCCTCGTACTTGGTAAATTGGAAACGTTCCGTTGGCTCAGAAAGTAGAGAGCACAGCAGCGTTAGTGTCCACCTTATTACAGGTTGTCCCCTCCCTGGCATAGGAGCTCTCTCATCAAACATCAATGAAACATGAATAAAAGTTTAAGATCAGGCATTTGCTTTTTGGGTCAGTGTATCCTTTCCTTTATCTCTCCGAGTAAAGTGTCTAGGTGCGAGGCGAGTACCCAACAAACCGTTAATTTTTTACCCGACACTGGATACCGCTGCAGGGGAATACTCTCTTCCCTCCCTTCTCGTTTTCTCCAGTCCCCTCGCTGTCTGCTCTGCCTAGTCTGTGTGAGGACGACAATCAAGGGGCTACCCTTTGTTTGTAACGATGCAAAGTCAAATCCACTTTTATGCATGGTTCATTCTTGTGAAATGTTAGAATTACGCCCTACAATCTCGGCAAAATTGGACACAATGTACTTTTATCCAGATCATATTAAATCCTCTTAGTTTTGTTTAAGCCTTTTAGATACTATTTTATTAACGTTATAACGGAGACGCGTGTAGAATGTAGGAGAGGACACTGGTTTGGTTTTTAAAGACAAGCAAGTTACAAGCTTGTTTAGAGAAGAAAAACTGGAATCAATTTGTATCAGCCATTTATGGGCATTCTTTGGTTGAAAGGTTATGATTCCCAGCATTTTTAGTTTTTTAGTTGCTTTTTGTACAGTTTCAATATTTTATTTCAGTATTTAATTTATTTTTCAGAGATTTCTCTACGTGTAAAAATGCAACTATTGAACATATCTTTCCAAAAAATTGGATGATTACAGATCTATGTAGAAGCATCCATTGAGGCAAAAATGAAAATTTAATATATCAAGTTAGTCGTGATTCTGATACATTTTATAGTAGGTCAGGGTGAGCCAAAATAAAGCTCATCTTTTGCGATATTTATATGTAGGTTTTGAACTTGTTCCAACTTAACAGTCACGCTTTTAAAAAGAAAACTCAGATTTGTCAGACGTGGGTACTGTACAGTAAGAATGTTTGCTGAGTCACTAAAATTCTGGTTATTTTTGCTTATTCGTATTCATATGATCACTTACTCGCGCCTTTTATTGAATTGCGAAGATAGACTTTATAACAGGCCGGAGATTGGCATGCGTATCTGGCGGGATTAGCGAAGGAGTGCTAACAATCCCGCCAGCTACGCAGGCGAGCCAGAGATGTAGATGTCTCCTGCTCTGTGCCGTGTTGGTCTTGTGGCTTTCGTAGAGAATACACATTGTATTGTTTAGTGGACATGTTATCAGGATTTTACCGCTAAAGCAATAGTCTCACACGCAGAACGTTTGTGTGGGATCCTATTATAGGAATAACATAGTTATAATTGCTTAGTCAGAAGCCAGCTTATTATTGATAATACGGAGCTTAAGCAAAGACGACGGCAACGGCAGCGAAAACGGCACCCAAAAAGTGAATTCGCGCAGTTTCAAACTGCACCGTTCTTATTCCAACACTTTTAATCTGTCAATGTTGGCGATTTTTTCGGGAGTTGAATTCTAAACTGTTTAAGTTCAGAAAAAGAACAAGGAAATTGTTGTCTTATGCTCACGTTCTCCATAGAACGTGAAATTAGGAAGTTTCACGTCGTATTCGTGCTGTGACGGCAAAGAAATGTACAAAAAAGCACGGTGCACGTGCAAAGTTGTTGTTTTGTTAATGTAAACCTACTGCTTTTTTGCCGTTCTTGTTGCCGTTGCCGTCGTCGTTGCTTAAGCTCCTTATTGCCCAATCTTGGTTATTTCATATTTGAAATAATTCATTTAATTAATGTAATTTGCACCTGTCACTGTCTTACGCCCTTGTACTTGCGCTCCACCAAACCGAACAACATATGTCTCCGACATCTCAACGATGTTTAGAACGGCTATGCTCTCGCATTTTTAAGCAAAGCTAAGCATTTACCAGGCTGGTCATAGAACTGACTGAAATAACAGGAATACATTTAGCTCAAATTTCAAAACGACGCCCTGACAAAAACTTGTTGTGGCGGTTTTTGAAAGATCATCTAAAGATTCGTATAGCCAACTTGAAGTTTAGAGCTCGCAATAAAGGGCAGTGAGTAGAATAGACTAAAACATCGTCTGTCCTGTAAACCCCAATATCAGAGTGCATATCCTCAACACTGTTCTCAATACCTTCCCTATGGTGCTAATCAGGATCATTTGTGTCACGATCAATAGCTTTCTGGCTCATCATTAATGTTTCATTCAGGAGTGTTACTGATAAGGAGAAATTAAATTCCGTCAATCTTAAAAGGTTTAACTGACAACCAGCGAGAACAAATATAGGGGTCAATTCAGTTAACTTTTGCAAGTGTCATTTCAAGGGTAGCTATGGGTTAAAGTTGAAAACAATTGCTACGTTGTTAGCTGTAAAGATCCACTTTCAGTCGCAGGCTAACGTGATTCATCAGCAAGACTACTTACGTTAGTGCGGTTGTTTGCCTCTGATTTTGTTGCTAATTAACCAAGTAAAGAAATTAACTAATCCTATTACAATGATGATACGGCAATTATGTAAATGTAGAAATTAATGACTATTAATATATTGAAAAATATATCCGTCTTGTATAGTGTATTGTGTAAAGTAAGCGTTTTCCTTGTACATTATCGTACATTATCGTAACTGTATTCTTGGAACAGAACGGCAAAACGATCTCTTGACGAAGATTAGTGCTCAACTATGTTAACTTGATCTTGTAATGCCTCAAGTTCATTTTAGCATGTAAAATAAAAGGATTAAATTTGACTACATGAACTTTAAGAGCTCGAATAGTCTGTTGCTTTTTTATGCTTTGTGCATTTGTTTAAGGTCCCTTAAACCTGTTTCAAACGTCCACCCTCACAAGTGCCAAATTTAATGCTAATGAGAAAAATCTATTGTTATCGGTCAGTATTAAGGGAGGTAACTTGAGTCCCTAACCAATCGGATTACAGCATTTAGGTTGCGTGATGTCCCTCGATCAATCAGATCGCAGGAAAAGATAAAATGAGGTCACGTGGGCTGTCTAAAAATAGACCAATCAGAAACGAGTTAACCTCACATGGTCGGAAATCACGTGACGATTCCCTTGAAGTAGGGCAGGACCGGTAAAGGAAGAGGAAAACAAACTAGATGGGGAAGATGCTAAATGTGACCCTTGCGTGGCGAGTTTCTTGTAGGCAGTGGGTGGGATGGCGTAAAGGTCTTTGGGAAGGAGTGATGGAAGTACATGCTTTCGGACAAGGGGTGGTGGGTCGTGCAAGACGAGATGTAATTTCCCTACTATCCGAAAAGAAAATCCCTGATTCCCCTCAAGGAATTTACGGTGGTTCAGTACGATCGTGTTTTGAAATACCGGGTGAGACATCCGCCTTTGTACTAGATACACGAGGATTGGAAGCGTTTGTGGTGGTGTCAGTTTGGTTTTCGCGTCCTTATGAAGAACGATGGGGCCAACGAGTGGCTTTTTACTTATTACGAAGGGTTCACAGAGTTTCATGGCTGTTGGGGGAAGGATGAATAAAAATTGCCGCATGCATGAAAGTCGATGAACGATGCGTCAAATGAGACTAAAAAAAGTAGTTATGTTAAATGGTTTTTCATCATGGATGTGATTATTAACAATGAAAAAAAAATCCATTGAGGTTTGAGACTGGGTAGCTCCCTGACGTAACGTTCGTAGACGTTTCGGAATTGGTGGAGGAACTCGATTTGCATCTCGGTCGAGGTCGGGATTGCAAGTCTCGTCTGATGCATTCTTGTAATTAGTCGTCGAAGGCCGGGTAGAGGTCAAGTGCATGTCAAGTGAGATGGTCGTGTTGTAGTCTTGCCTCTTGGCGGTGAGTGACGAGTGCTGTGAAAGAGGTTGCTGAGTTGGTGTTGACCGTGTGAGTAGACGGAATCACCTATGAATCTATGAATCACCTATTAAAACGAGGAACGTGGCTCGTACAGTGGGTCAAGAGTTAAAAGGAGTGTTAAGCCCAAGGCCATACCCATAACCGGTGCGGTGCCCAAGTATGCGGCCAAGGAGACGTACAAAGAACGGTGGAATGTGTGCGAGACGTGTTGGGTTTACAATGCCGATGAGAGCAAATTTAGTTGTGCAGTCAGGAACCCATAATCATGCGATCCTAGTACAGTGGATTCCCCTGCTCGAGCGGGCACGGCGTGGCATTCCGTCCTGGTACGGACTGTTCATGACGCAGCGGTTTGAATTTCGAGTGTTTCCGCGACGTCAATGCGGCGGTTAGATCAGTGGGTAGGCGGTACGACCACCGCCTTTCGAGGAAGCACAAAGGCTGAAGGGTATAAAACCTCGTCGACGTTGATGAGGCACACACGCGTAAACGTGTGGGGTGGCAATCATGAGTTGGGACCTACGACAGTAAAGTGGCCAATAGCATCACGCCAATGGAATTTTCCTTGCGCACTCTACAACCTGAATCGCAGCTGTTTCGTCATTGACTTGCGATTATACACGTTGGCGACCAACGGCATTGTGCCGAACAATGCCAATAATGCCAATGCCAAATAATGTCAATGTAACGAGTGTTGTGGCTTTGACAAGCGTTTTCCTGTAACGAGCGTTTTACTTGTGATGGGTTATGAAGGCAAAGAGTGTTAAGACTGGGACGAGTGATGTGACTTTAATAATGAGTGTTGTCCCTGTGACGAGCGTTGTGATTGTGACGAGTGTTCTCCCGGTGAAGAATGCTGTGACTGTAACGAGTGTTGTTCTTGTGACTGTGCCAAGTGTTGTGAGTTTGGCGAACACCAAATTACAAGAACTACAGAATCGAGCTTCCGATTTTTCACTTTTTTTGCAAGGAGACTAATGCTGATGTGTTTGGCATGCAAATATATTTGCAAATCTTTTTTCTGTTATCTTTGGTATCCTGATGAGTATATGGTCTATCAGCGATTATTATCATTGTCATTCGCTCTTTTGTAAAGAGATGGCTGTGGTAGAGGCCATCCTGGCCATGATAAAAGAGGCGTCGCCTCGGCTGTACGTCCTCGACGCCCTCGTGACATTCGACAGTCGTGATGATTCGACACCCCAGTAATTAAATGTCTTTGTGCATAGTCCGTCCTGATGCGACAAGACCTAGTGGGCCACCGGCTGCGAAGCTTCGAGTCGTTATGTGTCTTGCCAGAAGAATGCGTCACGGAGACGTATGAACGGGAGGAATAAGTCGTAGATCCATCCCATCGTCGGAATACTTTGGCGACGATCTCGATTTGAGCAACTGACCCACGAGGAATAAATCGAGAGGGAACAGGCCCGTCGACGTTGGGCAGCCACTAGCGGGCGACAAACGCAGATATCGGACCGAATGGCCGAGCATCAAACTCCTCTGCTGCTGGCGAGGGTCGGCACTTTCCCCAATAAGCGGGAGTTGGAGACTATCCAGGATCCGCAAGAGATCTTGGACGAGGCGCGGGTGCATGCTTCGGCCAGCGTGGTTATGTCACCAAAGACGGGCCGTGGGGTTTTCAGTCGCCCAATTCCAACCCGATTTCATTTTTGATGCTGTCCGTGGATTATTCTCGCCTTTGTTGGTGGGCGTGGCGCCTGCTATTCCCACAACACCCTCGAACCTGGACGCCGACTGCGTAGCCATCTTTAACAGGGTGATGATCGGCGGACTCCACGCCGATCGGCGTGGAGTCCGCCGATCTGGCGCAGCATGGACCAACAATTCATGACGTGGCCCATTACGCCCAAACCCTACCGTCCCCATCAGATTCGGGTGGTGCTACGCCGACGCCCCACCGCGACGACCACAAGGGCCAAATCCACCACGCTGGAGAAGTGAACGACGACCCGATGGTAGGCATCCACCCGGCGGACATCCACTAGACGGCAGCTGTTCACGTAAGAGAGGCGAAGGAGGAGGACACCGTGATCATGCCACGACGATCGAAGACGGGGCACGCCTACATGCAGAGGGCGAATGAACCAGGAAGAACTGCGACGTTAAATGGGTTCGTTGGCGAACGATGCTCGGTAACGATAGTGGGACGACGCATCGCCAACATGGACGGCGTTGCTCACACCCATACCATCACCACAGTGTATTACGACGGCGGGTGAAGCCGAAGTGTGTAGTACATCTTCCACGTTGAGTACCCCTAGCAGATAAAAAAAACCCAACCGAGCATCGCCGGTGATGTAGAATATAAAAACCGCCCTGAGGCGCATGTCACCTTCAACCATGATACGCCGTACGACGCGACGACGACGTGCTCAACAAGGGAGTATTCTGTCGTTTTTTTTATTCCAGGGCTGGTAAAGCGCCTGTGCTGGGAGCGGGCAGTGGGGCAGTGGTGTACGTTTCCAAGAAAGCGATCTCGGCGGCCACCCGCAAAAAAGGTACCCACCATCACGTAGATGCATCACCAACGGGCCAAGCAACAGGTGAGGAGTGACTAATACCCTTCCTGGCCAAGCAACTGTTTCAGCGATAAAGTATAACAAATCGTTGAGAGTAAGAGCACCGCTAAAAACATGGCATGGCGTAGCGGATTCGTCGCCAGTTGCCATTTTTGGGCAGCGTGTTGCATGAAGCCGACAACAACCTGCGCCGTTCACGGTTGTAGCGTTCAAACGGCTTTTCCTTTTCATCAGACGAGACGGGTTCACTCCACTCGCAAGGCATGATGACGGTATTCCCTTTCTTTGGGGCCTAGCTTCACGGGTCGGGGATGCGTACAAGAAGCCAATAGCTTCTGACAATCTTCGTAGTCATCGTCGACGCTAACGAGGGGGTCGAACAGGTGGCGACATCCGGCACCATGTACACGGTCTGATGAAATGGAACGCCTGGCTAGCCCGGACGGTCATGGGTAAAGGCAGAGTCTGCTTGATAATACTGGTACAGATCATTCTTTGCAACACCAGGGGTTCGACGTGGGTGGGCCGCTAGATTGTCGAAGCATTGATAAAATGAATTAAAACCACCAAAAACATTTACTAAGGCGTCTTGGGTTGTCCTTGTTCAAGCAACGCGTCAACTCCACCCATTCCTTTTCCATGATTTTGAAGTGCCACGGGTTAAAGCAGCTTCTCGTTCTGGCAATACAACTCGATGGGCGCTGTCGAGTTAATATTGTTTATAAACAATAAAAACACAAGTTAGTCCTGGAACTTCACTCATCCGCCGTTATAACAACGGCACATGCACCTCCTCGACAACCGTTTGCACCGGTCCTCAACTTGTTGGCCAGTTCCGCCCATTTCACGACGGATAAAATTTACTGGTCACGTCAACCACGAACAGGGTCACGAACACACAGGCAATGACATGGCTTTCTCTTAGCTGATGATGGTTGCCACAGTGCTCTTTCAGTCTTTTTCACCCTTCCAGTCCATATCTGGGCCTCCTATTTCTTTCAAAGCTACATCTCCTTTTTTGTGTGCTTTTCGTTAACACGTTTGACTTGCCTTCTAGCATGACTATTGCCTTGCGTTTAGGTCTACTCCAGCGAACCCACCC